GCCCCAAAATCTAATCACAAATCCAATTTTATAATCTACAGTGGGGCACACCTGCAAGAGCCAGCTTTAGCCCTGTTTCTATGTCTGGAATACTTGGAACCAACACTCCTGGAGAATCCAGCACATAGACGCTAGGTCGATGTGCAATCTGTATGGAATAGCATTTTTAGCATCAGTAAGAATAAGCAAAACAAGAGCACACCTTTCCTTCTACAGTTTGTCCAACATGGGAACCCACTTTGCCATTAAGAAACAAGCAACAACGGCATAATCTAACCCTCTATGTTGTTGAATATATCTAACCTTGAATCCAGCAATATCTTGAGTAACACCAGGCAAAGGCCCCACTCTAGCCTTCTTCATCTTCTCCTGCACTAAGATCATAACCCTCAATAGGAAGTACACTAAAAAACATAGCCACTATCAGCTTCCCATAACAACACCCAAAAAGAATCACCAACAAAAACAAGCCTCACCTGGAAATCGAGATAATGCAATTTGATGGATGGAGTTGATTAAAGCCGATTTGCCAACATTAGGAACACCTAACACCATGACAAGGAGAGTAGGTTCCCTAGCCATAACCTCCTTCAGTTTGAACTCAACCAGATCAAGAAGCTTTGGAATATGAATCATAGAAATTGGATTAATAACTCTCAGAAGAGATGCAAACTGGCAACCTATAAAAAAAATCAAATTTCTTGATCCAAGATCCAATTAACTAGATGTTTGAATAGAACATATGGAACATATGCTTTACATGCTTATAAGAAAGTCTAATGTATTGATCGCAATCAGCATTTATTATTCTTATTACGAGAAAGAGTTAACAGGTAACTATGGCTCCATCTTTGGTATGTTTATGAATACCAAGGGTATGAATCATGAGTTTTCAGCATAATAAGAGCATGGAAAAAAGGATGACTAACCTTATGTACAGAACTTCTACTGTGTGCATTTATTGGGAGGCACTCTTGTTTATGTGAATTGAAATAACTAACCCACTTCTGCATGGAATGAAAACAGAAGTTTCACCAACTAAAATTTGAAAAGAAAATACCAAGCAGCTTGTAGATTCATACAATTCCTACAAGTTTTCCCTCAAACAAGCCAAAGTTTCAAAGTTGATAAGAAAAATAATGTCAAAGTAATTGCATTCTAGTAGCATTGTTAGCATATTCAATGCTAATGACAACTCCATGAAAGAACTAACTAGTAACACAACAAATGCCAGGCATACATTAGACTAAACAGCTTTGAGATTCTAAGTAAAACTAGACACTGTTAGAAAATACATAAATTGTCAATGAGATAAGTAACTACATTGTCTTTGCCATGTATCTCATAAGGTAAACAAAATTTCTATAGCATTCGCTAATAGACAAGCATATGTTAATACATACATGAACAAAAGATGCAAACTTTAGGATTCTTTGTTAAGGTTCTATTTATTCTTGGTAGACCCTTGGTATACAAGTACCAAATGTTGCACATCTTTGGACTTCATTAAGACAATTTAAATTGATCAAGATGCTCATTTCAGAAAGGAAAGCTTATCTTTTCCCCTTTTAATATGATTGTTATATTCTCAAGGTGAAAAGGACTTGAATCAATAGGCACCCAAGCCCCAAAGGTGTGGCTGTGGCTGTGGCCTGATACTAATAGTCAAATGAAGTGGGTTGAGAACCCTGAGGTCTTAGGTTCAAATCCAAGCAAACACGCTCGATAATTTCTTTAAAAGTAGCAGGTACCCCTAGAATTGGTCAATATACACGCAAGTTAGCCCGAACACCACATTTATTTTCAAAAAACTTGAATGAAAAGGTACAAAGCACTCGACTTTACACCTGAGTAAATCAATCTATTCCACTAAGCTGACTCCATAGCTTTCTTTTAGCTGTTTATGACTTTAGGGGATGAATGATACGATTCTCGAGGTGATCGGATGCATTTCGGGGTAATAAGCTCCAAAAAGGACCAAAAAAACATAACTTTGACAAAGTAATTACTAGCATTTTACTTCATGAAGATGAGTGTTCGAAATTAGATACATGCATGAGGTTGCGGTTAGCCAAATCCTGCTTATTAAGAGCAATAACACGCCTTTTCCCAGAAAGCATCGGTTGCAAGTCTTCATTCGCGGACGACAACGGTATCTGCAGGCGCGCACACACACTAATTAGATCCAATAAGAGCAAAATTCATCAAAACAAATGATCAACTCATGGATTATGAGGAAGAATCAAGCAAGGAAGTAAACAAACATACACGAGCATCACGAACTTCAATTACAAAATCAGAAAGTTTGAGACGTTGCCGAATTGCACGAGTCGCTGCAGCCATATGCCCTGGGTACCAATTGATGCTTCCTCCACTTTTGGTGAAACCCATTTGCCCTAACCACCCCTTCGCCGCTCCTCCTCCACCCATCTCTCTCTCTCACACACACACACACACTGTCTCTCTCTCTCTATCACTATCTCTCTCTATGCTTAAACCCTGAATCTTCCATTCACAGTAGAAATGGAGTTTCGTAAACCCTGGGTAAATGGATCCTTTCTTGGGCCTCTTCTTAATGATCCGGAATGAGAATTCACAAAATAGCCATTTTTAAACAGATGGTAAAATTCACAAAATAGCCATTTTTCGATCCTTTAATTGAAAAAAATGGCAATTGTGATGGAGTTTCAATTTGAGAAACTTTCATAAAGCACGCTATCTATAGGTGTGACTTACTCGATAAAACGATAGCTTCAATAATTATATATCTTGTCTGAATTTACCTTCAAATACATTTTATCCGATGAATGCATCTTGCTTAAAACTGTCTCTCTCACTCGCTTTCCTTCCTCACTACGTATTCGTAATTAAAAACATCATCATTCTCATCCTACAAAAGAGGTAAAAAATAATTACAGAAAGATCGAAAGGGCATCACTCACAATTCAAAGGTAGAGTAGCAAGTATTGCCTCAAGTGAATTAAAAGTACTAGCGCAAGTCTAAAAAATTAATAATGGAAAGTGAGAGAGGGAAGAGAGTGGCGAGTGAGAAAGGAGAGTTATACTATAAAATCCTAAATATAACTATATTAGACAAGTATTTAAAAACATCGCTAGATTGTGTATTTACTTAGTTATAATTACGTAGTTTTTCTAATATAATAAAACCATATGAACATCATCAAATTGCACTTTTTGACACGTATGAAATATCAGCATTATTATTATTTTATTTTTCTCTTAGCTTGCTTATTGTATATGATATGCATATCGTACTTGCTGATCCGATCATGTAGTCAATTGTGTAGTTGCAAAATCCAAGACTAATGTCCTTTATTTTCATGTGAAATTTTATCTTTCACCATTATTGTAGCATAATTAAGATTTTATATCGGTCTTTTTTAGATCTTATACATAGTGAGAGCTTTAGTGCACCAGACTGTTCTTATGATCAAATTTTATTTTTCAATTCTTATTAACCGTTGGTGCTTTTAAAGACACGAACTTAAAGATAAAATGTTTTATTTAACATGAGCGAGACGTAAACTTCAAGAAATGAAATTGTAATCTCCGTGAATATTTTGTCTTATTACTTTATAAATTAATAAAATTAACTTATCAATTAAAAAAAAAAGTCTTTCTATTTATTGATATAATGATAATAATATCTTATTTTCATCTAAATATCAACCTTATTGAGTAAAATATCTTGATCAGCCTAATAAAGTGCATCTTGACCATGTGAAAATCAATCTTTCATATTTTTTTAAATCCATTTTCTATTTAACCAAGTTTAATATAATACTAGTAACACATTTGGAACTAATTAGTACTAATAATATATTGAAAAAGTACCAGCCTGGGAAATATATTAATCCACTTCATGTCGGAGATATTTTTACAAAAAAAATATCTTCAAGCCAAGATTACTTAATTTAGTCATTTTTTGTTTATGCGTTTAATCCAAATACAGTAGTTAAGGATTTGTATAATATAAAAATATCTAAAAAAATATCTCTAGTTGGTACCAAGAATATAATCTTCCCATGCATCTTACATCCTTATAGTAGAACTATAAAATAAAAATAAAAAGGAAACTTACGTGTATACATTTCGGCCATTTAATTTATCAAATATGATTGAAATAAATAATACCCTAATATTTTGTAAACTAGATGACTAAAGGTATAGAAGTGATTTACACAAATATCACTTTTAAGGTTTTTATTTAGATTTTGTTTTTGTTTTTAAAAGTTGTGTAAATATAATCTTTACGAGATTAATTTTTCAATTTGTTAAACTAGATCAGTCTAATATTTTCTCATATATTTTTCAATCTTACAGATAAATATTAAATCATCGTCTAAAGTTTACAATAGCTTACAAACATATTCTCAGAAGATTTTTAATATGTTCAAAGGGATCTTTAGATTGTGGTAAAAAACTAGAAATTATTATTTACCTCACCATGATAAATCACACCTAATGTGTCTTCTCCAATATTTTTGTTCTACTTTAATTATTATTATTATCTAGAAATATCTTCCTTTTTTTATTAATTTAATTATCATCTAGAAATATCTTCCTTTTTTTCTTTATATTTTGATAATCTGTCCTATATAATTATTAATTATTATTGTTAGGAGGACAAAGGTCTTCTTTTCCATGTGGTTTTGACTTTTCACTATTTGTATATGACTTGCTACCCACCATTTTCCAACTTCTTTCTCACTATTTTTTTTTCTCAACATTTTTTTTATAATGTAAAATCAAAAATATTACATTCTTGAATTTTCACTTTTTGTCAAATTCCAAATTGAAGGTATGAATTTCAAACTAGAAGTATCAACTAGCGAACGCTTCCCCTTTAATAGGTTTTAATTATGTGATATGAATTTAAATTAGTCGTAGCACAAAATGAATACACATGTCAAAAGAAAACCAATAAGATGATACAATAAGAACATATATTGAAGGCTTATATAGAATTTTATTTTTCGACAAACATCAAGATGAGCTAAATTTATTCAACAAATGAAAACATGCATAATGAAACAAAAATGGATTCTATTTTTTTCTTTTTTTTTCAAGTCCTTAAAAGAAATATACTAAGTTCGGGTCCTCCAGTTCCATCAAGATTCGTCATATAAAAAGCTTCTGAGTCACGATTCCCTACAACTCGTTCAAAATTAGCTCTAAAAAACATCAATTCACCTTCTGACTCACCACCCATCCGTCCATCACCCACCAACGGAATCACTCCAGCCCCGACCGACACATTCCGTACGGTGTGCAACACGTGTCGGTCTGAGTCAGTGCACGCGCGCAAAAGCGCGTCCCCACACTTCCTTCCGTTACAATACATATTCCAACTAGGTTCTCGGGAGAGCCTCACTTGCTTGCTGCCACGTGGCCTTTTTTCGCATTCGAGCGCAATACGAACAAGTGGCGATGACATGTCTTTGACTAAAGTGGTAGTTGACATGGCAAATTCAATCAAAAGACTCGGTTCCGATGACGTGGAATTATCTTGAATAGCGAAGCTGACGTGGCCTCTCCGGTGACCGAACAAAGTCCCGGTGACTTTCCGACATGAGTTATGATGTGTAAGATATGTCGTAGGGAAATATTTAAGCCACGTACTGCATGTTGGAAGCATATTGTGGAGAGACATAATTTTTACAAGAAGAAACTTGAAAAAATTAAAGTTGACTTTCATTCCATCGCGATTTTTATGAGGAATAGGAGAATTATATGAGTAATTATTTGAATGGTGATGAATGATAGAATTACTTTGGTACTCCGATGCAATGAGAATTAAGTTGTTGGAGCTATCGCTGCTACTTGTTCTTGGGAGGGTACATGTTTGATCATATTCTCTCATCATCGTCATATTTGTAAAATTAGAAAAAAAGAACAAAGGAGATTGATTATGAGGATTTGATTGTTAATATAATGTTTGTTCAAATGAGAAAATTGGACAAAATTGAGAGAAATGATGAGAAAGATAGGATGAAAAGATGATGAAAATATTTGGATGTGAGCAATACATATTTATAAAGGGAAACTATGGACGTTTATGGCATGTGTTGCCTATTTCAAACTTTAAAATAATGCCCATAACCAAATTATTTTTTTTATTGGAAGCCCATCTTTGGTCTGCGCCGGGGCGGATCTAGATGGGGTTGAGGGTACGAGCAGAATCAGCTTATAGTCAGGAGTTTAAACAACTTATATGTAGTTAAAAGTATATTTTATATGTATATAGAGATGTTGAATTCTCTTTAACTAGTTAATGTGTTCATTATATTTCTCCAGATTTTGAATTTTCTTGATGAAAATTTTAGCTCTGCCGACACTGGTTGAGGGTGTTCAATTGAACCCCTTGATAAAAAATTATATCGTATACATAAGGTAATTTTTAATATGTCTCTAATAGCCGCATCAAATGCTTCACTCCAGGTCAAACTCACTTTCTTTTACAATTCTCAAATTAATCCAATTTTATGGGAGTTTACACCCTTTCTCGACCTTGTCAAGCTCTTCCTAAACCTCTGTCTCTCCTCAACGAATTAAAGTGACACAACTTGTATTCGCTTATTAACTTAGGAAACTTAGACACCCCACTGTGAATCTATCTTTCTTTATTGCGCTTTTGATCCTTTCGATGGGAGAACGAAACCATTAATTGATCAGTTTGTTATTCGATCTGTTAGGGGCGATTAAACCAATATAATATAGTTAATTTTCATGGGCTGTCTTTCAAATGAAACATTTATGAAATATCCGAATTGGATCGTGGGTCCAACAATCGGATTGAGTATAAGTCATCTATATATACTAATTTTGAATTCCATAAATGCAAGATTAGAGGTTAATGTAATGCCTTAGGAGATCAAAATTTGGCATTTTAAGTTTATATCTTAAGCATTACATTTTTATTTTTTAAATTCCTTAGTAAAAATCTTAGATCTATGTAACTTTCGGAGATGGTCATAAGTTATTCTACTCTCTTTTTTTCATTTAAATATTAAAAATTTAGTTTGCTTGGCACATAATTCGAACTTGTAACACGTATGGCTGTATTATCCTACAAGCCAACTCCCTCGACTTTTTTCATTGAGTTAACCCCTTGGGTTGATTATTTATTTATGAAATTTCTATCCGTTTTTGAAAATTTATCTTTAAAAAATTAAAGTTTTTCATGTCATTCACAAAAATTCAATTTAATTTTAAATAAAATACATGTTCAAATATAATTTCAAGTTTTATAGAATTATTTTTCAACATCAAGAACTCATTTTTTTAAATAGAAATTCAATTAAATTTATGGTTAAACACTAAGCAACTAATTCTTTGACTATCTTTACATCAAGAGTTGCAATGTTGACGCTATATTAGATTTCTTCGATAAAATTTTCTTTAAAATATTTATGATATTTATATCTTCTACGACAATACAAAATCATTTGAAGTTTTGAACATTATTAAAATTGTACTTTTTGACACACGTATGTAATGACAACATCATTATTATTATTTTCTCCTGGCTTGTTTATAATTTATGTTGTACATACATATCTTCCTTGGATTATGAAGTTAATTTTTTAGTAGCAACATCCAAGATTATTGTCCTTTAATTTATTTTAACTTGCATGTGAAATTCTATCTTTCACCAATCACCATTGCACTATTACGATCTAATCTAAGACTAATTATTATTAAACTTCATTTTGTTCTCTTTTTTTTTAACCGGGCAGAACTTCCATTTCTATGCAATAACATGCAAACCACACAAGAAATGTAATCCGCACTAGGCAAGTCTAGTACGACGAGCTCAGTCAAACTCCTTACTTTCGCTGATAAGGAGTTTTGTATTTGAGTCGTTTGATGGAAGTCTCAAGCCCAAACCACTGAGTCATCCGAAGGGTCTTTTTAAATTTTTAGTTGAATTAGTTTCATAATTTCATTAAATGAAACAATGTCCAACTATTCACACACACAAAAATATAAAACCCATTGAAACGTGTTTCTCAAACTGCCCTAATTAAGTATGGCGGAATATAATTTTGTGAAAACATTAATAAACAAAATATCCTTCTATTTATCAATAATATTTTTGTTTTCTTCTATATATATGTTATCAAACATAAACAGTGAGTACTGATCTAATTTGACATTTTTGCCAGCCTAACAAAGTGCATCTTGACCATGTGAAAATCTTTCACTTTGGATCCATTTCATATTTAACCAAGTTTATTTAATATAATAAAAAAATATCTAGAACGAATTATAATTATAATATATTGAAAAAGTGCATAGCTGTATTATAAACCAATCTGAAAAGTACCAGTCTTGTCGAAGATGTTTTAATACTTAGTTTATTCATTTTTTTATTTTTCTTATGTTTATGTGTTTTATCCAAAGACAGTAGTTCGAGAATATTTGTATAAATATCTGAAGAAAATATCTCTAGTTGACACCTGGCACCATCAATATAATTTTCTCTGTGCATCTTACATCCTTATAGTTCTTATAATAATAAGTAATAAAAAAAAAAGGGGAAACTTACGTGTACGTTTCAACCATCTTAAATATGACTGAAGTATACATTTTATATATACTCGATTATTTACATTATGTATAAATATGTATACTTCACGTATAAACAGTGGCGAAGTCACAAGATTTCACGAAGGGTGTCCTCTTCTTAAAAAGTGGAAAAAATTGCTACTAATGAGATTTGAACATAACAGTACTTTAAATTTGTGTATTTTTACTCTTTCAAGGCACCTAAAATTAACCACTAGGCTACATCATATTGTTGTGTCAAGGGTTTCCAAAATATGTTATTTAGTCACTTTATTTATCATTTTACTAGTATATACGGTATAATTTTCCGACGAAGGGTGTCCAATCTAGACACTCTAACATAAGGGTAGCTACGCCACTGTATATAAATTTAATATAAAGTGTGTGTGTGTATATATATATTGATTTCGCAAATATAGTTTTATAGGTTTCCATTTAAATTTTGTTTTTGTTTTAAGAGTTGTGTAAATATAATCCTTAAGAGATTAACTTTTCGGTCTGGTGGATTCGGAGTTAATATTTTCTTATATATTTTTAATCTTACTAACTAATATTAGATCACCCGTCTAATGCTTAATTGTAATAATTTACAAAATTTTAAATGTGATTTAATATATTCTTATAAAATATTTAATTTGTAAAGAGAACTTTTACACTGTACATAATTTATAAGGTTCATAAGTTATAAAAAATAAAAAAAAAGGGGGTCATTATTAATAAATAATTATATAAAAAAGACAATTGGTGAAAAATGAAAATCTTTGTGTCTATTATCACTTTAAGTTCCGACTAATTTGATTTCTGCTTAAGACCCATTAAAGGGAAGTACTCTCAATAAAATTTTGATCTTCTTTCTTTTTTTTAATTGTAAGTGTATGAATCTGAGATTTCTAATTAAAAAAATTGATGAACTTTATTCATCCACAATAAATTATATCTATTTGAATAAAGAAATTAGTGAACAATATTCATCCACAACAAATTACACCTAATGAAATTGGTGGACATTATTCATCCACAGTAAATTACACCTAATGTGTCTTCTATCCTTTCTTTTGCTTTAATTAATACCTAAAAATATCTTCTTTTCTCTCCTATATAATATGTTAAAAATATGGTAATTACATATATTCATTTGCAGTACTGCATATCTTACATAATGCATTATTGTTAGGAGGACAAAGATCTACTTTTACATGTGGTTTTTGACTTAGCACTATTTATTTATAGAAAAAATACATAAAATTCCTTTATTATTATTATTATTATTATTATTATAAAGTTTGAACGGAGCTCCTCTCTATTTTTTTGTCTCATTGTATTCAAGTTCTTACTTAAATGAATGGCACGTGATATAAATTAAAATTAATGATTAAATTTAATTAGCTAAAACTATATACACTTCATTTAGAGGGTTGTTATCTATTGTTTCATAATGTATCGTATTATATTGTATTGTATCGTAATGTATTGTTTTAATTAGGGATAATGGTCTGAAAAATACCCCAACTTTGGCCGAATTTGTTGTTGCAATACTAAACTTTCATGAGGACCTATTACCTCCCTAGACTATTTAATACCGTATTTTAAACATATATATTTGCCCACGTGGACATAAAAAATAATGCAAAATTATAAATAGTAATGTGTCCATGTGGGCACATATATACCTTTAAAATACACTATTAAATAGTTCAGGGGGTAAAAAATACGGTATTAAATAGTCTAGGGAGGTAATAGGTCCTCATGAAAGTTTAGTATCGCAACAACAAATCCGACCAAAGTTGGGGTATTTTTCAGACCCTTATCCCTTTTAATTAATATGATGTTTGAATAGATTGTATTGTTCTCAGTCGTTAAGTAATATCACTTATCAATAGTTTGAATGATAAACCTACAAGAAAAGTAAGATACGAGAAAGAGCTAGCTATGAAAAGCTACGGTAAAGAATAAAATAAGAAATAAGTAAAGATAAAATGAGAAGAAAATATTAATATAACGACGTGATCACACCAAATTAATCGTTACATAAAATGGATTTTTCGTTGCTACCTAAGGATGGATTTAAACGATACGGTACGATAAAATTTAAGTAACAATA